GGCTCTTGCTTTTTTCTTGCAAGGGAGAGAGTGACTCCTGCCTCCCACTGTCATCATCATCTTCTTTTGGGTTAGTGAATCAATTAAACCTTTCATGATAGTGAGATCGTTTCCCAAATTTCCCTTAAATCAGGGAAGAAATCACAAAAAAACCTTTGGACTGAGAATAAGCCTGTTCCTACAATGCCATTTTTGTTCACTGCAGTGTGAAAAGTGTGAAAAAACACACTTCTTTTTCTTCATCTTCTTGTTCCCTATTTACTGGTCTCTTTCAAAGAAGAAATTGTGAACATCAAACTTATTCTCAACTGTCCTAGTGAAAGTTTTTATTGGTATCTATTTTTATTTTTGAAATTTACCAGTAGCTGCTGCATTTCCCACCCTAGGCTTATACTCGAGTCAATAAGTTTTCCCAGTTTTTTTGTAGTAAAGTTAGGTGCCTCGGCTTATATTCAGGTCGACTTATACTCGAGTATATACGGTATATTGTACAATTGATCTGCCTCATTTCTGGCATTTAAAGCCAAACTTTATGTTCACTCTTCTCTTTGTCCATCTTCTTTCTTTCTGCCATGGCAGAAAAAGTAAACCGCAGCTGCCTTTTGCACCAGCGGAAGCTTCCAGATATTCTTCAAGAGCAGTTAATGTAGGCCATGTTATAGTAATCCACTCCCAGGTAAACGGGACATGTAGTTCAGGAAAATGTGCAACTGGTGTACAACTCAAAGTTATGCAAAGGTCCTCCTATCCATCATGACTGCCACCTGCTCCTCAGCCAGGGACCATCAGTTTAGAAGGACTCCCAGACTGCACACAGAGTTTGTCTGGGCTAGATCATGAAGAAGTGATCTAGAAGGCCCCAAAACCAGAGCCACTTAGTCTTGTTAGGATTCAGCTGAAACCTATTGTTCCCCTATCCATATGTTACTATATCCATTTGTTGTTATTCTCTCGGTTACTTAAAAGATGTTATTAAAGATTATGGCTAGCTTTATTCTTTGTTGCTTATTGGTTGTTGGCATTTAGTGGATATTGTACATCACTTTGAAATTCTTTTGAGTATTGAGTCTTGTTTCAGGGGGGAAAAAGACCATTTTACTTCTGTACATAACTTAGGACTGAATTCCCCAAAACAAAATAGCTCAAGAGATTTCCTGGAAAGATGTCATAAACTCAGCTTACATTTATGAAAAATGAAATAATTGGGTTTTTTTGTATTTTTGTTCCCCTTCTTCAATTTCCTTATGGGAATTTGTTTCTCTAGATTGAAGAGAAACTCTCTGAATTATTGGAGCTAATGCAAAAAGTGAGAGAAATCTGGGATCTGAAGAAGGATTTGTATGAGGAAAACTGGGAGATTCAGCTGTTAAAAAGGGAGCTGGACTTTGCTGAAACCTGGTTGACAGCTAAGGAGAGTTTTCTTTCAGATTCAAATTATGGGGTAAGTAAGCAATAGTATAGTGCAAAATGCCAAATTCAAACCTATCCAAAAACAACTATATCACTCCTGAAACATTTTAATTATGTAATTTTTTTAGCTTTTCCCCAGAACCCTGGGAAATTTCTTTTGAATTTCTCTAATTGCATGAAATAAGGAAGGATATTAAACATCTTTCTATCACTCTATTTTTCCCAGCTGCCAAAGGGTAGAGAAGTTTGTGTCTGGTTTATAGCCTGCTTTTCCTTCAGGAACTCAAGTAAGCTCCCATCATTTTGCCCTCAACCACTCTGTAAGATTAGTGCTGAGGCAGAATGAACAACTCAAATTCAGCCAATGAGTCTTCTAAAAACAAACCCGGAAGATGCAAACTTACGGCTTAATTGTATAATACTGAAAGAATTCCATCCCCAGCCAAGGTGACAGCAAAGCTGACTTGCTAGGCATGCAGCAATGTTGCCATCAGGAGAGAGGGAAAAAACTCCCACTTATATCAATACTGGCTGGGTGGGAATTTCTAGTGAAATTGCTGCAGTCACTGCATGCTGCTAAGCCAACAACCTGCCTTTCCCTTAAACAAAATTCCTTCAAAATTGAATGCTCTTGTCATATAAAGCAAGTAGAGACACAAATCTTGTTGCCTTCCAACATTCATATTCTAAGTATAACCTCGATAATGAAGAAATTGAAAGAGTCATCTGTGCTTCATTAGCTGGAAAGCTTCATAGCCATGCCTCACAGCCAACTTGGATGTTTCTCTTTCCCTATTCTGCTCTTTCCTCTCCTTCTCACCCCAATGGCATTTCTGTACTAAAATAATTGCATTTATTGACTTCACTCCCTAGAATTCTGTCTCTGATGTTAAACATCTGTTGAAGAAGCATCAAGACTTTGAAAAAATGCTAGAAGCCCAAGAAGAGAAATTTGCACAGTTGAAGAGAAAGACAAAGGTACTATGTTAAACCCAAGGAAGACATGTGGGGGACAGGCCTTACATAAATACCTTTCATCATCTTTCCCAAACCCCATGTGGTTTTATACTTAAGCTTAATAATAAGGTGGCAATTCACTCAAACCTGTTTTTTATATTATGCTTGGCCTTCTTATCGATTACTAAGTGCAACAATAGCCCAATGCAGTGGTGGGATTCAAATTTTTTTTACTACCGATTCTGTGGGCGTGGCTTGGTGGGCGTGGTGATGCTTGGTGGGTGTGGCTTGGTAGGCATGGCTTGGTAGACATAGCAGGGGAAGGATATTGTAAAATCTCCATTCCCACCCCACTCCAGGGTAAGGTTGCAAAATCCCCATTCCCTCCCCAGCCCACTAACCTGCTTTCCAGCTCTGTTCTCCTGTGCAGGGCAACAAAAGGAGACCCAGCCGATCAGCTGGGACTAGGGAGGCAGAGAATAGATTGGGGTGGAGACATCAGAGGTGGTATTTGCCGGTTCTTCAAACTACTCAAAATTTCTGCTACCAGATCTCCAGAACTGGTCAGAACCTGCTGAATACTACCTCTGGCCCAATGGTTAAAAAAAAAGAGAAAAGGACAGCCTTCTAACCACAGAGATTTAAAATACAGGAATGATGGAGGAGAATCTTTGTTGTTTTTTTTCCTTCAGTTGTCTTGAACCCTGCTCTTCCTGTATAGAGCAGTGTGAAAATTACAGAACATTACATCATCCACACTTTTCATTTCCAGTCGATATCTATAAGGAGATGTCTGTGTAAATAGACTGTCAGGTTCTGCAGACTTTTCTTTACAGATTATGGCTATCATGTGGCTGTCAGAGCCAAAGCAGAAGTGCTGTTTAATGGATATATGAAGAGATCTATTGTTCTATAGCATGTGATCTTGCTGGGGGGAGGGGAAAAAACCGTTTAAGACAATGGCAGTTAAGGAATGGATTGACCTCATCCTGCCCTGGTTTTTTCTTCCCTTAAATCCCAGCTTTCAACATTCTTACTGATTTTTGCTCCTTCTATGAAATACCTACCATGGAAGGTCACCTACAAAAGCACCAAATATTTTTGCCAATTTTCCAAAAGTTTTCTTCCTCTGGGAAAAGATAAATTGCTTTTTTACATCATTCTGAAAATGCTTTAAATTTCTTTGGGTTTGTTTTAAACTGCGTTATTTTTGCAAAGTAGTAGAGTACTCCCATGTGGTGAAACTTATTCTCTCTGTAACCTCTATGAGATCTACTTCTCAGTATTTGGCCAGCATTGTGTGATCTGTTAGGAATGAGTATTTGACAAAAGAAGCAAATAAGACTGTTTTTCTGCCTACATTGTTATATATAATTGAAATCAGGAAAAATATAAAAATAAGTTGAATGCAAATGATTACTTAAGAGATGCGAGTAGGAAAATAAGAGATAAGGTCAAGAATCAATGGATAAAAAGTGAGCATAGATTAAATATAAGGCAGAGTGATAAGAATCAAATAACATTGCTAATACAAAAAAAATGAATGAAGATCAAATTGCAAAGTAAATATTTGAGAAAAGAGCAAGAAGGAGGAGATTGAGAATGTCATGTCTGGAAAGAATTAATGAGATTTTCAGTTAGAGACAAATGAGTAAATTAAAAATAAAAGACAACACGTGATTCATTACCTGGTTGTAGTGGAAGTAAGGATGGTTTGCAAGGACCCAAAGGTATTAAAGAGGGTTGATATAAACAGTTGGTTTCCTTTTCTCTTATTTCACATATTTAATGTCTTTTATCCACTATTCTTCACTCTTTGTTTCATTTTGCATAAGTCACTCTGAAAGTGTCAGTGAAAATTGCCAGTGACTATTGGTGTACATTACAGCCAAAATATGGCAATAGAGACAAAATAGTGGTGTATAGTAGTAGTAGTGAGACTCAATAGTAAATCAGTGGAGCTGTTACCCAGTTGTATGTTTTCTTTCACAATTGGAGGGAGGACAGGCATGAAAATTCAACATTCAGGCTCTATTGTGGTTTCCTAGTGGTATAGAAACTATGTGAGGCAAATTTACATACAGGGATGAAATCTTCCACACTCGTATGCATATGTGTTCAAGGAATGAATAATTCTACATGCAGAAGCCTAAATATCATTTGATTAAGTAGCCAGAAACTTGCAAATTTTGTGTACTAATGATAGATTTTCAATAGAAAGCAGAAACACTCTTTTGTGTGTCCTCCCACTCATTCCAAGTGATTTTTTTTCAGAGAGAATTGAAGCTACTGAAACAAATGACTATAGAAGAAAATGAGCAAATGACCACATTGATCAAAGTCCCCTCACTAAGAAGGCGACATTCAGATAGAAGAAGCATAATGCTTGAGCCAAAGAAAACTCAGCAATTACCACTTATATCCTCAATTCCCAACTTAAGAGATCCCTTCAATGTCTCTCCTACCCAAAACTCTAAAGAGAGTTTGCACCAAATCAGTTCTGAAGAAGACTTGATGTTGATCAATGATTCTCCTGAACCAAGAGTGCTTGGCTTAGAAAATTCCATGCCAGAAACTGAGAATTCTTTATGTCCTTCATTGACCTCAGACTTGAATATCCAGCAATCTGATGTTGGATTTTTGGAGTCACACAGTAGTGATTTTAATCCATCAGATGTGATAAACAGTTGTGAAATTTCTACCTCTGAGTTAGAAACTAGTGAAATGAAAACTCAATATGGTGAAGGATCCCCTGATGATTGCCAAAGTTTTCTGCACTCAGATTTATCACCAGAAGGATCAGAAACTGCTTCCCAAGTAAGTTATTCCCTTTTGTGTTACCCTTTTGTTGACTGAACAATGACATAATTACTTATTTTTATATAAAATAAGGCTGATTCATAAGAAACATTCCAAAATTCATAAGGTGGTGTCTTTCTTCAGAACAGCCAAAAGCATTGCCAATTGTGAGCAACATTTTCCAGTCTCATTTTTCTTTCATTTTTATGGGTCAATGTCCTCCAGGATTATAGCAATGAAATTCAGCTGCAATCTATTAATGAAGCAGAATTTCCTGCCAATTCTTAGCAGAAAAACCCTTTAAAAAACCAGGTAGATTTATACTTATTTCCACCCACCCTGAAATTGAAGGGGAAAAAACCCAAGGCAAAAATTCTGATCTTAACGCCTCAGTTGTGTAATTTGGTAAGTATCATGTATAGCCTTCAGCCATCAAAAATGGGTTGAAGGACAATGAAAATGTTAGTCATTGCCATAAAAATGTTGCTTCATATTAAGAGAAGAGAAAGAAACTCAAGCTGAAATAACCTACTTAACATTCTACAAGGTAATCATTCTAGAATTCCTAGTAGGTATTCTTAGAACTGCAAGTTTTAGATTCATCTAGGACTACACAGATAATGGTTGATCTCTCAATATTCAAAACACAGTATTTACTTGTATTTGATTCAAATCTTAGACAAAATAGTTTACTTTTATTCTTTGCCTTTTTAAGGAAATAGAATCGTGGGCTATTACCAGTCATAGGTTCCCATCCACTCACAAAAATAGATTGTTTCTTTGCCCTTTTGTGCTTGGTACCATTTTTCTGTGGCTGCATGAGATTTTGTCACATATAGAAAACTTTCTTGGCATCACTGATTAATGCTGCATAAGTAGTTTCATTGGATCTGATGATTGGCCTAAGGCAGTCTGTGGGCCTGTTATCAATGCATCTGATTTGCCCTACTATCCATCTCCCAGTTTAATGATAAAACATCAGGTCTGAATAAAAAGTCACACAAAGAAGAAGGCAACCGTGATAGGAGATCAAATGCATTCAATTTACTGTATTTTACTTTGTGGTGGTCATGGGAAACTGAATGGGTCAAAGAAAACTAATAATCTGGGATGTCCTATTTGCAGAATGTCTAGTTGTCTGAAATTGCTCATAGTAATTTTATATTTGCTGAATTTTAAAGAAAACTGCTACTCCAAGAATAAATTATACATTTTCCAAATTGCATATAAAACACAATAATCCTCAAAGATCCACCAGAAGCATTCTAAAATCTTCATTCTTAAGCAACATTGTTTATTAGGATCAATCATATTTGTACAAAATTGTGCACAAAGACATGTATATAGTATCTAGGTGCAACTTCTCAAAACAAAGCCATATTTTTCTTGCGAAGATATGTAGCTCCTTTAAGGAACTATAGATATTGTTGGGGCTCTGAAGGTTTTTTCCATTCAAATTTCCATTCATATTTATAAGCACGCACACACATGCACAGAGAGACAGACATGCAACTCAAAAGATCAGGATGAATGAGACCAAAATCAACTTGTCATTACAGTGTATGATAGAAAAAGACAACAACTGTCATTTACTTTTCATAACAGAAAGCACACTTCCTCTTTAAACATTCAGTTCTTAATGCTACAAATCTGCCATTTCTCTTTCTTCTGATTTATGGCATCTTCTAACATCACCCAAACAATAAGGCAAAATATAGCCTCTCACCCTTAATCTGACTTTATCAGAAGGATGGTTAGATTAGCTGGATGATCCAATGAAACTTTATAAATCATTAGTGAGAGTAGTAGCCCAGTCAAAGGCCTCTAGTATGTCAGGTTGCTTCAGTAATTCAGTCTTCATTATTCAAATATATAAAGATTAATAATTCCAAGACTGGAGGCTTAATTAACTATTGATTTTGTATTCCCTAAATAAAATCCTTACTTAGTTCCATCTCCTCCCACTCTATCTCCCGAGTCCCAACTATAGATTGTGTGCATGGCATTTTTTCTGTCATATTATTGTATAAATTTATGAATGATTTATTGCATTCAAGCTTTCATCATAACAAATTAAATTACTTGCAAGCTTCTTATGCATTTCAGATTTCTGCCAATCGATACATTATGGCAGGTTTTCTAGAAAAAAGAGACCAGGTCCTTTCAAGAAGGAAAGAGGTAAATATAAGTAGAACACCTGCATGATGTGGATGAAAAGTTAAGATGAGGCATCTGTGCCCTTAATATGGCTAACTAATTGATATGTTGTACAGATAAATGTATGGCTCCATTTATTCAATGGATAGAAGATGCAATGGCACTTGCCACTTAAGAGCAGATACCTGCTTATGCTTATAAGCCTTTGACTTTGTAGACTTTGTACAGACATGTCCAATGAAACATAGGGTTCGTTTATACAAAATATAGTAGGTTAAAAAAAGATGGTTGTATAAATGTATTTGAAATCTACATATATTTAAATAATATTTGCATTAGATGAGTAAATAGAATTATAAATGTTTCATGTTATAATAAAATATGTATTAGAAATATATACATGCTTGGATAATATTTGCATTATACAAGTATATATAGAATTGTAAATGTTTGCTATAATGAAATAAGTTAGATATTAGAAACATATACACGTTTGGATAATATTGCATTAGGCAGGTATACATAGAATTGTAAATGCTTCTTCTTATAATGAAATATGCTAAATATTAGGAATATATACATGTTTGAATAACATTAGATATATGTATATAGAATTGTAATGTTTATTTATAGACAAATAATGTTTATTATAATGAAATATATCATTTTTTTTCTTTTTATGTTTATTTTCCTTTTTTGTGAAAGCACTTTTATATGTTCTTTTTTCTCTCTCTCTTTGATTATGTATCTATAGTACCTCCATCATTCTGATCTTCAGGTCTTGTCCTTTTTTACTCTTTAGATTATTAATTAAAAGCCAATGAAATATGATAAAAGAAAAAAGTTAAGGTGGGACACGATTAGCCTGAGATTATATTAAACTAACTGGATTTTCCTTTTTTATAAGAATTTATCTGAAAAAAAACTAAATGAAGGAGAATTCCAGGTATAATTCAAGGACTGATGTTTTTCTTGCGATGCACTTCTCTTTCAGAAATTTTCTCTCTCCTTTTTTCCCCTTCATATTTATTCTAGCCTATCCTGTTTTGGTATCCCTACCACAATACATGTGCAAAGTCAGCTGCAATGCCAAAATGATACTTCAGTTAACTTAGTTTTGTTGAATTACTTGAGCCGTGGTATCACAGTGGTTAGACTGCAGTATTGCAGGGCTAACTTTGACCACTGCCAGGAGTTTGATCCTGACTGAGCTCAAGGTTGATTCAGTCTTCCATCCTTCCGAGGTTGGTAAAATGAGGACCCAGATTGTTGGGGGCAATATGCTGACTCTATGAACCACTTAGAGAGAGCTGTAAAGCACTATAGGGTGGTATAAAAGTCTAACTGCTTTTGCTCTTGCTATTTTGCACATTTATTTAATATATCAGTGAAAGGAAGAATTGAAATTTACAGATCACCTTGGCTCATATTATTATTTGTCAATATATAAAAACTAAATTCTTACAAAGATCATTAGCTTACAAAATTTAACCCTGTTTTCCTACCACCAAAAGGTTTGTTTAACAAGAGAAAGAACTACTAAATCTCCCTTGGCTCAAAACTCTACATGGGACTCCTCAAAGCTAGTTTTACACCCGTGGAGTCCCAGACAGTCCTGCCTACTTTTTTCCTGAATTTCTGCTTTCTTATTATTAAGGGAATCAGGGAAACAAGACAGCCAGTTTGATTTTAAGGTACAGCTGGAAACTGGGAGGCTGTGAATTCTGGATTTGCCTTATGGGTGCCATATGGTTGCCTTTGAGCCAGTCGCTGTCTCTTAGCCATAGGAAGAAGGCAATGGCAAACCACTTATGAAAAACCTTGCAAGGAAAAACTGCAGGATTTGTCCAGATAACTATCAGGAGTCAGTGCTGACTTGAGGATATACCAAAAAAAAAAAAAAAGTATGGCTCAAGAATTTGGTCAATAGTAGTAAAAAAAACAGCATTGTGGAGCAGGGTCATTGTAATCAGGGCAATTATAAAGCTTTACCCCTCACCAAGGATAGTCTAAAGATTGTGTATATGTGGGCCCATATGCACAGAAGGAGAAAGAGGCAGGCTCTAATTACAGCAGCAGATTGACTATGGCCTCAGGACAGAAAGAGTTACTTCACCCTACATTAGATTAATGTCAGTTATTTCAGAGTGGAAGCAAGCTACTAATGGATGAATAATTTTAAATAATGATCACATTGACATATGCACAGTTTGGAAATAGTTTATTTTATGTTATATTATTTCAGTCAAAGACAAGGGCTTGGAACACTTTCTATGTTCAACTTCGAAGACATAAACTTGACTTCTATAATGATGAGAAGGAAGTAATTCAGGTACTTTATTTTATAATCATTTAAATCTTAAAAATCTATTGCAGTCTCACTGAAAATCCTCCTCCACCCTTTTTTTAGCTAGTTAAGATATGCAGTTTGATAAATGACTATATTTTCTAACACCATCTACTGAAATTCTTAACAAAAATCAAAACAGCTGACCTGTGTCATCACACCAGAATGCTTGATTAAAATAGTTCTGGATCAAATTTAAAATACATGTATTGGTTGATTGTTATCATTATCCTTGGCAATTTTTATGAAACAATGCAGCAAACTATGATATGGTCATATTTTCTAGAACAATGATTTTGAAATCATTTTGAGAAAAATATTTAGGTTACAAAGTTTGCATGACACATTTCAGGCAGCACTGTTATTTCTTTTCAAGTATTAGCAAAATTGCTAAAACTCACCTCACCTAGTAACAAGATCCCCTGCAATGAATGAACATTCTCTTGCCAATGTGCATCACAAATGTGGATAGTTCATAATGGACAGGCCATGTCTCCAAAATGTCTATTTCCCCCTACACACATTTTTATTTGAGAAGCATCAATGGAATTTTACAGTTTGAAAATCACTGCTCTAAAGGATATGGGATCAAAAGGATGGGGGTAGAAAGTCTCTGCTTATTATATCTTGTCTTTCTCCTTGTTTAGAAAATACCTCCAGGCTTATCACTGAGCATAGCTGGAGCCAGGTGTGAGAGGCTAATGAACTATTCCAGGAAAAAAAATGCTTTCAGCTTGAGGTAAAATACATAACTGTTAATTAGAATAAAATGCAGTGCTCTCATCTGAGTAAGCTAAATACTGCTAAGCTTAGAATGATTTTGTAGAATTGGATGCTGCCATTTGCACCGTAAGAATCAAAGTGCAAATAAAAGTACCAACAGAATGGTCAGAGGAGTAAAACAAATGTCATTCAAAAGCAAAAGGACTTTCCTCAGTTTGCAAAGGTTGAGCTACCATCATTAATGATTCCTGAAGCATAAATTCCTCTCTCAGTTCTGTCCACTAGACTAGAACTCACTAGACCATGATTGTATTGAACAAAATTGAGAGATTTGGGTCTGAATTAAGTTATCAATTTTATTTAGAAATTACAGGACAGAATTTATCTGAAATCAGTGCATGAGAAGATTTCTTGGGCTTTGCTGAAATACAAAAACTACCACTTGTATTTGTTTTCTGGTCTGCTAATGTTAATAACATTTCTTGTATGAAAAAGAATGGGGCTTTTGGTGGGCTTGTTCCTGTATGTATTTTATTGTGAAGAGATATCAATGAATATATTGAATAAATCAATTAATTCCATCTTCAATACATGGTTTACAGAACAAGTGATGGGGCAGAGTACTACCTTGCAGCATCGTGTCAGAAGTTAATGGAGGATTGGATGCATGCATTATGGAGTAACTTAGGTAAACTGGTGTGGTGTAAGGAGTCAGGAGTATCTCAGCTTGCCCAGGGAACCCTTACAAAAGAAGAACAGGGACAGAATATTGGGCAAAAGAGGACAAATAATGCTAAATGTTCAGATTCTTCATCACCATAATTTTGTTTTATTCCTTTGATTTCTTATATGGATTCCTGAAGATCATAATAGCAATCAGAAGGACGTTTCAATCAATGAAAATGTGGTGAAACCTCAGATAAAACCTTGGATTTCTACAGCTAGAACTTCTACTCATAAACAGACTAGCAAAGGTTTCCTTCTGAGGTAGGCATGGGTTTCTGTTCACCTGATTATATTCAATTCAATATATTTGTTTGTATCTTTCAAAAAAAAATATCCAGATAAATTATTGCTTGTTTTTTCAATGTGCTCAACAACATTAGAATATCAAGCATCATAGAGAGTCTTGAACTTTGAGAACAGAATTTGTGTTTACAGCACTTAAAAGAATAGCAATTCTTCCATCTAGTTCTGCTTTGTTGAATAGACAGTTGTAGACGTTTCAGTTTAAGAAAGGAAAAAAACAAGAAAAGATGAAAAGCTGCTATATTTTTATTTCCTCATGACTTTGCTAAGTGGTTGAGCACATTTTTATTTCTTGATGTTAACTACCATGAAAATACTTATAGCTAAAACAAAATAAATAAAACTGTATTCATGTATTTTAAATTTAAATCCTTATCTACAGGTTCAGTAAAGAAAAACTAACGGCTGCCTAGACTCGCATTTGTGCGATGGATGGCCGTATAAATCCATTTTATTTAATGAATTAACTCTGTTAATCCTGCTTGGTAACAGGAAAACTCCTTCCTTCAAAGCTAATCGAGAAAAAAGGCTTGCTGGAAGTTCTGTTATATCAGAAACATTGACGCAAAATTATGAAACCCTCGCTCCAAATTCTGAAGATCCTGGTAATAGCACAGCACTGTTTTTTTTTCTCTTTTCTTAAGATATATTTAATAAAATAATTCAGAATATGTTCACAGTTTCATAAAACAGAAACAATATTATGCTATGTTTAGAGGTTTTTTTAAAAAAATTACTACAATCATTTGATCACAATTCAGGGGGTTTTTTTTGTCAGTAATTATTATAACGTAGAGGTTTAGAATAGAGGCTCACAATTTTCTTTGTGATGCATGCATAGTTTTGAGTTCGAGATCAGAACAGGTTATTTATGGATTGTTTAAAAGGTTAAATGATTTTACTTCTTATTTTCAACTCTCATAATTTCCCCTATTATAAAATATTTAATGAAAATGAATAGTTATGTGTGGGATTTAGGTGTGCAGTACATGCGATAGTAAAAAAAAAAAAAAAAAAGTCAAATTTCATCAATTAAAAGGGTAATGTGAATAGTCCACGACATAGATCAGGCCATTATAGCTAATGTTCAATCACGTGAATGCAAGTCAAACCAGCTGTATGGCTGGCTAAATGTTTGATGATCGTCTTAATTTTGCATTTTCAAATAACAGCAAAATGATGATAGAAGAATAGAATGGTTCTTTAGGCCATAACCACCTTATTTTCGTGGCAACAGCACTATTTAATTCAAATACTTCATTCTTGATTTGTAACTTTAAGACAGTGGTTCCCAACCTTTTTTTCGCCCCGCACCCCTAAAGAAATTTCACTCAAACCTCGCACCCCCGGAAATAAATAATAAATAAAAATGCCAACATATAGCCAATATCCTATTATTTACCTGGACTTTTCTCGCACCCCCTGGAATATCGTCTTGCACCCCCAGGGGGTGCGAGCACCCCAGGTTGGGAACCCCTGCTTTAAGAGAACAGTACAAAATCAGAAACAAATCTTCTAACTAGGGTTTTTATGTTGCCCAGGGTCACCTTATAGGCCCGTGATGGCGAACCTATGGCATGTGTGCCACAAGTGGCACGCAGAGCCAATTGTGCGGGCACGCGAGCCCCAGCCAAACTTACCTGCACTGCACATGTGCACGCCTCTCAGCTGATTTTCAGCCTGTTTCAGGCCGTTTTCGCCCTCCCAGAAGCTCGAGGGAAGCTTTGGGAGGCCGAAAAATGGGCCTTTTGGAAATACCAGAAGTGCTGAAATGGGCCTGTTTTCAGCCTCCTGAGGCTCCAGAGGCTTCCCTTAAGCCTCCGGGAAGGCGAAAACAGCGTCAAATGGGCCAAAAATCAGCTGGGAGGTTCGCACATGCACAGTGCAGGTAAGGGGGTGGGGGGTGTTGCACGCACATGTGCGGGGGCACATTACATGTGGGTGCTGGCACATGCACACTTTCGGCGCCCTACAACAAAAAAGGTTCGCCACAACTGTTATAAGCGGGTGGTGAGATGCTGCCAGTGTAATAACCAGTTCGGTGATCACGTGAAGCGCCATACAGGCATTGTAAAATATCTGTTTTCTTTTTTATACAGTTTCTATTGTCTTCTGTTTATATAGTATTTTTCTGATCCAATGCTAATCATTTTTTTTTTCCAGGCAGCAGAATTGAGCCTATGGTGAACACAACAAAGTGTGTAGACAACCTTGATGCTACAGAGAGATCTACAACAGAGAAAGGTCCCAAGAAACAGAAGGGGATCTTTAAATATCTTTTCAGGAAGAAATAGAAGCAATACAACTCTGAAATTCTCAGAGTTGCTAGATTCCTCCATTCATTTACCCTATTGCCTTTACAATTAATTTAAGAGGTATGGCTGAAAGAGAAATCAGCACACCATCTATTAAATGGGTGTCCTACAAAAATGTGGATTTATACCCCTCCAATATTTTTGCCAAAAATTATAAACAATTATCACTTAAATTGTGTAACACCAGGAATTTATAACTGCAGGCATTTGAAAGCCATGAAAATTTGTTGTTAATATTAGACAGCCGTGAGTATATCAATGCTGTCATCATCATTATTCTTAAGCATGAACATGAGGAGAGAAAGCTATCCTGATGTCCTATTTTACCCATTAAAGACATGATATGGTTTCCATGAACACAAGAATTTCTGGGGTCAAATATTAGCCATATCCTTAACATCCATAGCAGTTTGAAGAGGGAAAAGTTAGAAGTAGGATTTCCATTTAATGAAAAACCTTAGTTGTATGGAAAAAAAATGCACTGCAGATATCTCTCAGCAAATACTTCTTGTATGCAGATATGAGGGCTAGAGAAGTGTCATAACCTTGCCAGGACAGCTTCTAGTATCGAGGAGCTCCTGGTTACTGGTTTTAAAAAGGATTAGGTAAAGTTAATTAAATCTATAGCAAGTAATAAAACCAGGGGTGGGATGCTACCGGTTGTGCCCGGCTCTATAGAACCAGTAGCTCTGAAGAGCAGCAGACACAGAACCAGTTCTGCCCACCCATCCACCCAGGCTGTTACTTGACCTTTATTTCCTGCTTTTTCAACCTCAGCTGCTTTGCGCCGCACAGCTGAGGTTGAAAAAGCAGTAAAGAAGTGGTTTTTTCAAACGCTGCGCACCCGCGTGCAGCGCTTATCAGCTGTCCAGGTGGCACAGCTTTAGTTGTATTACACACACGCGCAGCGTGCGCCTGGTGCGCGTGCACCAGACGTAATCACCACAAAACATAATCACCGAACCGGTAGTAACACCAGTTGAATCCCACCCCTGAATAAAACCAATTCTGCCTCTTATTTTATCTATATTTTAAAAAAGCAATACTTAAAAAGTTGAAGTCAGTGACATACCAGCACAAGAAATAAATATATATTTTTAAAGTTTTAAAACTGCTTTCTAAAGAAAAATTATAGCATAGAAACCAGATTTTATTCAGGTTCCTTAAATTCCTTAAATTAATTTACTTAATATTCCTTAAATTAATAAACATGTTCCTTCATTTCTAAATAAATCCAGTAACACACAAGTTTAATGTATTTGTTTTATTATGAAATCGTGTATGTAACACTGTATACTACTACATACATTTTTAGAGTTTTTTTCCACAGTAATAGGGTACAGAAGTCTCTGGTAAGGAGAATTTTTGAAGAATAGTACCATGTTCTCAGATTAATCTCAATTTTTTTTCTGTTTTTCATTCTACAATGGATAAATGAGTAAATCTTTTTCAAAAAAGGTTAATAACACGTGTCATGGGAGAGGGTTCAATAAATTAAATCACAGAAAATAGCAAACCAATAGCTGTTGGTCAATAGCTACCAACAGTTAAGCTTCCATAGTTGAATTTTAATCAGATCTTCATGATAAAAAGATTGTCCTTCATGTATCATTATTCCACATGTAAGATAACAGTTGAAGTTTCAGCATTGTCATTAGGTAATTAAAAGAATAAACTTCTTCAAGAAGCAATTATGTAGAAAACAGTACAGAAATACATTAAATAAATGTCTCAAAGCACAGTTTCAATAAATTAATAAACAAAGCTATGTTTGAAAGCATGATTATAATCAGAATTTGATTCAATATCTGTTGAGTTACACCATGTAGTTTTCGAAATTCACACAAAATAATATCAACAGTTAATTTTTAAATTGCCTCTCATTTTTTAAACTTCTGGGTTTTAATTCAAAAGAAAATCATATGGAATTTACTGAACTTATTTCCAGGTAGATTTCCATTTAAATAATAAAATAATTTTCATGTTGAACTGCTATCATTTTACATGTGAAATGTGTCAGTAATAACAAAGAATAACTCTCATTTTACAAAGTAAATATTTACTCTTGTTTTACTGCAACTACTTGCAGCTGGTACTAAATAAAGTCAGTTCATGCTTTTCTGCAAGTGTTAAAATGCAACCACATCCCATCATGTCCAATATAGTGATAGAGGATAAGTTCTCTTACAATGTTATAAAGAAACATAATTGTGGTTCAATTAGAAAACAGTATGTCATCAATTTCAGCCAACACCATCTCCTAAAAATCACTTCTAACAGTAAATGTTGGATAACACTAATAGGTAATATTTGAATGTATGTCTTTTATTAAACTCACCTTTATAAGAAAATAAAAAGAAATAATAGAATTATAAGTACTACATCTAAGAGAACAAAACTGATCAAAGTATAGCTTGATTATACAGGGATACAAACTAGGGTTTACCTGATGCAAGATGGTTATTTCAAATAAATAAAGAATTTAAAAGCTATTTCAAGATTAAGTGACCATATTCTAGAGAACTGATTTCCTGATGTTTTGCCAACAATTGTGTCTGACATCTTCAGAAGCAACATGATCTCTCACCCTCTCTTAGTTCTCACCAACCTGCACCAATTGGAAACCTAAAAGGTAAAGGTTCCCCTCAAACATACATGCTAGTCGTTTCCGGCTCTAGGGGCAGTGTTCATCACAAAGCTGAAAAACCAGCGCTGTCCAAAGACGTCTCCATGGTCATGTGGCCGGCATGACAAAATGCCAGAGGCGCATGGAATGCTGTTACTTTCCCACCAAAGTGGTCCCTATTTTTGTACTTCCATTTTTACATGCTTTCGAACTGCTAGGTTGGCAGAAGCTGGGACAAGTAACGGGGAGCTCACTCTGTTATGCGGTGCTAGGGATTCGAACTGCCAAACTTTCTGATCGACAAGCTCAGCGTCTTAGCCACTGAACCACCGCATCCCTACTAAAGGTCAATTAGTCAGGATGCCTAACAATAAAGATAGGATCCCTGTCAGTCCCCGATCAATGGCCTGTGCTTCTGCTTAGCTGACCACTTTGCCTCTGAAGGCAGAGCTGCTGTTTAACATCAGCCCATCTGTTCTATAGACCACGATCACAAAACCCTGAAGCCCAGCACTGCCCAACAAATACCGGCTGTGAAAGCCTACAGCAGTATATTTCATTTTAAATCCATTTGCTAAATCAAGAAGGAGTGAGAATTATCCAAGCATCCAACAAACTGCAGCATAATGACAACCAATTAACATTGCTTCAAACAATGCATCATGTTACATATTTGGATTTCTTCTCTTTAAGGAGACAAATGATCATTGTTTATCATTTCTGGACCCATCCTGTCGCTTTTTCTGCATAGCACTTTGAATGGCTTGGAAGATTAAGTCTTTGCTATAAAGAATATTGTAACTGCATAAATTTATTAGTTTGTTAAGGTTTTCTTCAGTGTAGGTTACTTCAAGGGTTTGGTAGGGTGAGATGTCTTTTTTCAGATTGACGTTACCGTCCTGCATTTCTGAAGGAGTACGTTTGACCCCTGAAAGATTAAAAAAGTGAGTGAGTGAGTGACCTTATTTGAAGCAAAACAATGCACTGTAGGCAAAGATTTAAAACATTTGGTACTTGGAAGTGAAATAAATTGGTTTTATATCAACTTATCTATTTTGTGCCCTCGTTTTTTGGATCTGATATAGCAATGACATATTGATAGACATTCTCCATTTTGCTGAACAGTGGAAGTTAAAATTATGTACTATACAGAAAATACTTCCGTTCCGGAATATTACTGCAATATGTCAATAAAACTCCAGGTAAAAATCCAACAATCAAGCAGGTTTCTCTGGGAACCCTTTTTTTCCAATCAAGAAGAAAAGGGAGCAGTTTTTTCTGTAAACATTTTTAAAAATCTGCCATAACTCAGAATATACAAAATTATCTGCTACAATGTCCTACCAGTCAATGACTACTTCAGCTTCAACCACAACAATACAAGAACACACAACAGATACAAACTCAATGTAAACCGCTTCAAACTTGATTGCAGAAAGTACGACTTCAGCAACAGAGTAGTCAATGCCTGGAATGCACTACCTGACTCTGTTGTTACATCCTCTAACCCCCACTCCTTTAATCTCAAACTAACCACTATTGACCTCACCCCATTCCTAAGAGGTCTGTAAGGGGCGTGCATAAGTGCACTATTGTGCCTCCCGTCCCTGTCCTATTATTCCCATTTATTCATACCTATTTCCTGTATTCTTACTCATGTTTATACTTATATCTATTATCTTGTAAGCGATTGACAAATTAAATAAATCAATAAAATAAAAATATGAAATATTGAACGCAACCCTTGCCCTGACTGATGTACACCATCTTGCTGGTGAAATTAAGAGACTTTGCAGCACAGAAGAAATTCTTTTTTTTTTTCTTTAGCTATTAGTGCTTGTGAAAGAAATATCTTCCATTGATAGTTACCATGGGTAACCTTTCGAATATTTAAAGGATAGTTTTTAACAGCCACAAATAGTTTGCAGGGTTAAGAAATGCTTTCTAAATCTAGATCTTGGTGGCAATAAAATAGGAGATCCTTTTTTAAAAAAGCAAATTGAAAAGCTACTTCAGAGTATAACTTACAATTAGGTAAACTGGGTATTATTATAGCTATGCCAATTGTTTCTTGCATGACCTGAAACTGAGAAATCATACAAGGGCTTGAGTCCTTGACTTACGACCACAATTGAGCCCAAAATTTCTGTTGCTAAGTGAACCATTTGTTAAGTGAGTTTACCCCATTTTATGACTTTTTCTTGCCACAGTTGTTAAGTGAACCATTGGATTTGTTAAGTGAGTAACCCAGTTGTTTAGTGAATCTGGTTCCGCCACTGACTTTGCTTGTCAGAAGGTCACAAAAGGGGATCACATGACCTTGAGACACAGCAAAGGTTAAAAGCCTTTGCAACTGTGAGCCAGTTGCCAAAGCATCTGAATTTTGATCACATGATCATGGGGACGCTGTAAAGGTCTTAACTATGAAAAACAGTCATAAGTCACATTTTTCAGATGTAAATTTGAATGGTCCTTGTAAGTCAAGGACCACCTGTACTTAGAGCATCTCTCTAAGCCAAGTAACTTCCTTGTTTTTTAAGGCAAACTTTTAAGGCAATATAAAGCTATTTGCCTCTGATCTTGTCTTGGTGTCATTGGAAGCCCTAGATGTGTAGATGACATAGTCTCATACTCTTTCACAGCCATAGTATATAACTCAACAGTAGGAATGCCTTACTCTGAAGAGTCCCTATCTGCTCGTCTCCAATTAACCGACTGGAGAGCAATGAGGAATCTTTGTCCAACATTCTTTCCACATATTTCAAGGTCCATCTCACCCCTGAAAGGACCGAATGGTAAAAACTGCAATGATAACACCTTTAAAGCCAATCTCTTTAACACATTCTTTGGCTCAGTATTTGTAAACAGCAACGGATCATGCCCAGTATTTCCCAGTCGAACCACAGACAACTACAATGATCTAATACATATCGATTTTACAGAAGACAATGTTGAAAAAGCACTATGCAATCTAAAACCTTCCCAATCTATTGGACCAGATGGAATATCTGCCTACTTCTTAAAAACGCTATCCACTGTCATAGCCGAACCTCTAAGCATAATCTTTGAAAAAATTTCAGGACCAGCTCCTTGCCAAAACTATGGTCACAAGCCACAGTCATCCCCATCTTCAAAAAGGGAGACCCCAGCCTAGTTGAAAATTACAGACCAATCTCTTTATGCTGTGTCACCTGTAAAGTCATGGAATCAATTATTAACCAATCCATTATCCTCCACTTGGAGAAAAACAACCTACTCTCTAATAAACATTTTGGTTTCAGAAAAAAACTATCCTGCAATCTGCAACTCTTACAGTGCAAAAATATATGGACAACACAACTCGATCAGGGCAAAGCAATAGATGCAATCTACATAGACTTCTGTAAAGCCTTTGATTCAGTGGTACACGACAAACTACTCCTAAAAATAAAATCTTACGGTATCTGCATAACTGGATAGAAGCATTCCTGTCAAACAGACAACAAATGGTCAAAATTGGGAGCGTCCTATCAAATTCTGTACCTATCAACAGTGGTGTCCCCCAAGGCAGTGTTCTAGGACCAACTCTCTTCATACTCTACATAAATGACCTCTGTGATCATATTAAGAGCAACTGTGTCCTCTTCGCTGACGATGTAAAGCTATTCAACACCACAGACAATACTGCTACCCTTCAAAAAGACCTTGACTATGTATCAGAATGGTCAAACAAATGGCAACTTCAAATCTCAACAAATAAATGCTCTGTCTTACATATTGGCAAAAAAAATCAGAAAATAAAATACAAGCTGAATAGTCAAGACCTTCTTGATGATCCAAACTCTGTCAAGGACCTTGGAGTACTCATCTCTAATTATCTAAGTGCTAGAGCCCACTGTGGCTACATAGCCAAAAAGGCATTAAGAGTTGTTAACCTAATCTTACGTAGCTTTTTCTCTGGTAATATTACACCACTAACTAGAGCATACAAAACATTTGCTAGACCAATACTTGAATACAGCTCATCAGTCTGGAACTCACATTATGTATCTGATATTAACACAGTTGAGAAAGTCCAGAAATATTTCACAAGAAGAGTTCTCCACTCCTCTACTAATTGCAGAATACCTTATGCCACCAGACTCGAAATTCTAGACCTAGAAAACCTAGAACTACGCCGTCTTCGGTCCAATCTAAGTATAGTATATAAAATCATACATTGCAATGTCCTACCTGTCAATGAATACTTCAGCTTCAACCACAACAATACAAGAGCAAACAATAGATACAAACTCAAGGTTAATCGCACCAAACTTGATTGCAGGAAATACAACTTCAGCAACAGAGTGGTCAATGACTGGAATACTCTACCTGACTCTGTGGTTTCTTCCCCAAACCCCAAAAACTTTAACCTTAGACTGTCTACTATTGACCTCACCCCTTTCCTAAGGGGGAGGGAGGGAGCGTGCATAAGCGCACCAACGTGCCTACCATCCCTGTCCTATTGTTCCTTTTATTTTTCTTATATGTAGCCATGTATTCATAACTATGTTTTTACTTATACCTATTATCTTGTAAGCAATTGACAAACCAAATAAATAAATAAATAATATATTCCCATTGGACTCAGTGAAAAAGAGTTCAGTTCAGTGAAAAAGAGTCAAATTTTGGTGAGAATAGAATTGATGATCCAAACTCTTTCTTTTTGATCCAAACTCTTTCTTTTTGAAAGTTCTCCAGTCCCCCATCCATAACCCAATAAAAAGCAGTCTTCAAAATTTCAGCCCTACCCTTTCTAGGCATCCCTGGATGACCTCCATAATATCAAAGGCAATCTTCTAACACCTTAAATGGTGCCCATTTATGCTTAGGGAACCTTCCAGTTGCACTAAATTCCGAAGCACTTCAGTGTTCTGCAACAATCATATAATAGATTCCACCCATGACTTCATCCCTGATGAATTCACTTGCAGGGATTTATTATTCTACTGCTATTCTCTACATGCAGCCTATTATCCTAAGGCAGGGACAGAGACTACAGCAGAAAAACAATAAAACTAAAGATTTTTTCCCCCACCATAGCTCAGCTCCATTATTTGTTCTTGATGACCTCACTGCTTACTAAATATTGGAAAAGAAGTATTAGGATGTCTGGACATAGGCATCCACAAATGAATCAAAACCACATTAAAATCACAATAAATGACACAAATTTTACCCTTACAAATTTGCATCCTAATAATTTGCAAATTTTGTGTTATGGTGCTTATTTAGTCAATTTTCCCATTTATTATCTCTACAGGGCCAATAACAGTCTGGTTGCTGAATATATTTCAGTTACAGATTTAAAACCTTGAACTACCTAAGCTAAATAGAATAATTAAATAGTGTCTTCCTTTAGCTCAATGTATTTTAAGATGTGTGGACTTATAAGATGTATGAATATGCTGGCTCGGGAATTCTGGGAACTGAATTCCACACATCTTAAATTTGCTTTGTTTACTTGATTAATATTCAGAAAACAGAACAATGTCTGTGTATGCATATAATTAACTATCACAATTTGAAAATGTGTGTATTTGCACAATTTGCAAAATGTAGTTTTCTTTATACCTTGGGAAATACCACTGCAGAAGGGATTTCAGTCAACATGTGAATTAAAGAAATCACTGAAGAAACTGCAAATGCTTAAATCAGCTGAATTTACCTGGTGCTGAGTATTCTTTGAAGGTGCCACAGATCAGAGGAAAACAAAGCACTATTGGTGCTTTGGGGTTATCTTCATCTGAGAAAACATAGCACTCCTTCATATCCTTTCGGTCTTTTTCACTCACATGAAACTTTGGAAAGGGAATGCCTTGGATTTCACAGTATTCAGCTGTCATCTCCATTTGCTGAAGAAGAGACCAAAAAAGAAAAATCTTCCCAAATATATTCATTTTGCTTCCCATATGTAAATCAGAAACTCCTCTACTGAATAATCTGTAATTGTCTCTGGTAAGCAGTGTAGAAGGTTCAGTGCTAAAACATACAGTACCTTGAATATGCAATTCTGTTTTCTCAACAACTTTTGTACAAGTTTGTACATGTACAATCTTTTTTCAAGTCAATTAGAAATACTTCAAGAAATACTTGAAGTAAGGAAAAGGAGGAAAGGAAATTCTAAATGAAATTTCCAATTCAGCTGAAGTTTGAACACAATCAGTGAATCTGAACAACTCCCAATTGGTTCTCCAACCTATTTTTTCTTTCTTTCTTTCACAAAAAAATAGATTTTATATTGCTTCAGGAAAGCAGCACTAGAGAAGGCTGTTTCACACTATTATCTTTCCTTCTCCTCCAGAGTAACTACATACTTTCCACATTCAGAATAGAGCTCCTATGAGATATAATACTATGAATTTAACAAGCTATCCTACGGATTGGAGAGATTCACTTGGGTTTCTCTCTCTCTCTCTCTCTCTCTCTCTCTCTCTCTCTCTCTCTCTCATCTCAATTGCTTGAATTCTGCCTCCCCTCCATCATCTATGTTGGCACTTAAAATAGATGTTCAAATATAGGCAACTATCATATACTTTTTTAAATAAAAAGTAAAGTGAAATAAAGATTATCCTTTTTTGTTTCTTGGGTAGTTATTAAATGGAAAATATTTTGTTCAACTATTTCACTATATTGGTAAACTTGACTTCTTTGGTATAACTGACCTATAATTATGGATCTAAAAAACTCTAAAGTACCTTTCCATCATGTAAGCACACAAGCATTCAAAAGGAAAATAATCATGAAAATATTTCTCTCACCTTTAAGATTCCACTCATCTCATAATCCAGAAAAATAATTATATCCACATTCCTTTCTGGCTTGAGAAGTGATATACCACTGTTGTTCATAAAAAATCCAACATCTATTAAACAGAGGGACTTTGTGTTTGGTGTCAACTTGTTAGAAGAAGTGTCAAATTCAGTATCTGAAAGACAATTGGTAAGCATTATTTTCCCAACCAACATGAGAGAAAGATAACTACAGACAGCCTTTCACCAACAAAAACCTGTGCTGCCTCACATTATCTTAGAAAGGAAACAATGATAAGATATGTGATTGAAATGTTCAGAATTACCAATATATATGGTGTGGATAAAGGAGAAGCTTAATGAACAAATCTCTGAAAATAGACTGTTCTGAAAATGAATAACTCCAATTAGTTCCAAATGTATAATGAACAGAATTGTTTTGTGGGTCATTGGTGATTGGGAATGGAAAAATGGAAAACCATTCCAGAACTAAATGAAGGCCAAATTCAACCTTCTACATCTGTGTTGGCGAACCTATACCATGTGTGCCGGAAGTGGCACACAGAGCCATTTCTCCCAGCACGAGAGAGGTCACCCGGAAGAGCCCCACTGCACATGCATGCGTGCACTGCCGCCTGACAGCTGATTGTTGGGTATCTGGCACGCATGCACAGGGGGTGGAGGGTGTATGTGCAGGAGACATGCATGCATGCGCAGGGATGCTGTGTGTGAGGGGATCATGCACACATGCGCAGACATGCTCTGTGTGAGGGGAAAATGTGTACGCATGTGCAGACATGCGGCATGCAAGGAGGGAGCCGCATGTGCATGCACAAAGATGCATGGCGCACGAGGGGGGAGTCACATGCACATGTGCAGATGCACAGTGCATGAGGGGGGGTCACATGCACATGCGCAGAGGGCATGGGGGTCCAGCACCCATTGCCTTCTGGGTGCTGGCACATCAGCACGTGCAAGCGAGCGCAAACGCAGTTATCGGCACAGGAGCAGAAAAAGGTTAGCCACCACTTTTCTACATGATCATTTCCTTAAAAAAATGAAATAAGCTTAGTGTATTTCAAAAAATATTCCCAGGAGCAAAAACTATTTGTGATACTTCTTTTCCTCTAGAGAAAGTTTCTATATAAGGGAAAGGTATCCAAGAATCCTACAGATCATATGTCTTCCCTAAGGTGCAATTTCTGTCCCCAGCGAAGTCAGGAAGCATAATTGCAAGTGACCTATCCCCAAAGTACACTTCTTATTATACCTCTTTTATAATACATGAAAATATACTCTCATCTAGTCTAGGTTCTTGCTAGTCATCTTTCTGTAATTTGTAAGCTCTAGATCAAAGATCTCCTTTTAAGGAATAGAGTTCATAGGACTATATAACTATCTCCTTTGTACCTCCACAGTTATGAAACTGACTGAGATATTACTGAACTGATTCAATTCTGAGCATTTAGAGCAGTGGTAGTCAACCTGGTCCCTACCGCCCACTAGTGGGCATTCCAGCTTTCATGGTGGGCAGTAGGGGTTTTGTCCCCTACATTATAAATAACCATTACTGTGGAACCGGTGGGCGGTTAGAGAAAATTTGACAACTAACAGAGATACAAAAGTGGCCAGTAGGTATAAAAAGGTCGACTACCCCTGATTTAGAGTGTTTTAAGAAATTATCATTCTCATTTACCACTCCATGTCATGAATTCTTTCTGATGCAGATAATCTTTATCAAAATCAAAGCCTTGTAGGAAGTTATAATTTTCCCCTCTTAAAGGACGATCAGTTAAAATGTCATTGAAGATTTCACAAAGATTTCCACAGGGATGGCTTGGAGGCTTGTAGACTGTGGCAGAATAACCACTTGAAGAATAATTCTCATCTGAAACAAAATATAGAGATACTTCATTTATGGCAACTTTTACTTTTATTTTCAAAATATAACACTTCCGGATTAGTGAGGCAGTTTTTAATGTAGCACATTCCATTGAAAATAGTGCATTGGAAAGGAATATGTCCTGCAAACACAGACACAGATCTGAGTCACAGAAGATTAAAATGAGCTCCCCTCCTTTCACAGGCTCAGCCTGCTAATTAGTTTTTTCTCTGGCACTGATTCCAGATGGAATTTTTCATATGTATCACCCACATATGAGCAGGAAAAGTAGACTATAAATCAAAGTTGTGCATAACAAAATACTAAACAAACAGCTGATTATTATAACTCTACAAGCACAATACCATCATTCTTCCATTGTCAAGCCCTAAAGAATAGCCACATAAATGCAATTTTTTCCAAATGTGTCTTTATTTGTTACTGTAATTTTGGGCTAAGAGGTGACAGTTACACTGCTGCTTATGAGCAGGCCCAGAGAAATATCATGTATCTACTGAGGAGAATTTTAAGAAATATATGACAGAATTGCAAGGTTTTATATATTCATATTTCTTTTTCATCACCATTATTATTATATGCACCTATTGCAAGGTTACAATGATCTATATCCAATACATAACCTAGAAATGTCATCTTCCTTAAAAATCAAAATATTCATAAATCAGAGTTGCTATTTTCTTAACTAACTATAGTTTTTGAATTATAAGTTATAATAGCTGCAATCATCCCACAATTAGTTCCTATCTGATTCAGTAGGTGTTCAAAAAAAGAAGAGGATACAGGGTCTCTCTCTTTTATTTTACTTTGCAAACAAATTTACAAAAACTCTGGCAAAGCAAAGACTAAAATAGTATTGGAATTCTTACGCTTTATTGACATGTCTTTCACCCATCGTTTCCAGAATTCTTCTGTTGATGTGGTCCAATACAAACAATCCAGGAGATTTGGACTGAAAATGTTAGTCCAGATACCTACAAGACCAACCACATTGAAGACTCAAATTATTAACTCAAATTATAGTCCATCTCAACTGTATCAAAGGATATAGGCTCATTAGACTGAGAAATTGTGATAAATATTTATTACTGCCAGCAAATTAAATACTCTAGACACAATTTAACATCAGAGTATTAACAAAATTATTATGGCTGATAAGAGATTCTGGTGATAGTGTCATATCCACTGTTAACACATTAACAAAACACAGGTATTGAATAGCCAAACAAATAAACAAAGCATATTATGCTTTAAAATGATGGCAGATTCAATGGCTTGGTCCCCTATCAGGCTGAATACAAATCACCCACACCTCATTTTAATTTAATATATTATGCTATACAAACCCAGCCATTATGACAAAAATAAAATAGGAAACGGAATTACAACACAGCTAGAGAAACTAAAGGAAATCCTAAGAGGAGTCAAAAGCCAGTAATATCAAAACCAAAGCTACCACCTTTTTTGCTCGATGTTTATCCAATCATCTTAGATTTACACAATGTATTGAGCTAAATTATTATTGGCTGGTTTGAGGTTCAGGGTATGTGAAGTGAGCACAGTTTCTCTATTTTTCACCCACCTATTCCATTCATACCTTCAGTCAGATTCAGAGCATCATGCTATTGCAACACAAGCTCCATCCTTTGGTATTTGCAATGTGATTAAATATACACATGCCTCAAAGTTGCTGTTTGCTGCACAGCACTGCTTCCATCATTTTTCTTCATTGAGAAAAATGCAAAGCCGCAGCAGATTACTTACGCAAATATCCATACATGCCCACCTATCTTTCTTTCTATGTCTACCTCTCTCTCCATACAATTGTCCCCTTTTGGCCTTGCCTTCAAGCAGTCTGTTTCTTGAAGTCCAACTACCATGTTTGTGAGGGAAACAAGAACACAACCTGAAGGCCATATGAGAGGACTCATCAGTTGAAGATTCCCTCATCTCTAATTACTATTTCACACAATGCTCTCTGGACCCTCAAGTGGTGAAATGGTTGCCAGAAAGGGCCTCAGGCATAAAAAAAGAATAGTCCAAATCCTGGCTGCTGAAAGCAGTAGAATTAAAATCCTAATGCAAATTAGCACAGGATGCATTTCTGAATTGCTGTTGTAGAAATTGACTTTGGTCTAATGGCTGACTCTCCTAGCCTTCCTCCACTTGGTACTTTCTAGTAATTGGTAATTTCCTGGTTGTAAATTAAGGAACTTGTGATCCAACAGATCTGAAGGACAGTCCGTTTGGGAATGTTGCAATGCTCAGTATTTTCATCTGGTATGTGTTTACAATAACAATGCAAGGCTCCACCATAACTCTGTAAAATAGAGTGGTCTGGGGGAGAATGGGGGCTCTAAGTCACACAACAAGCTCCTACGGCTGAGAGTAGACTAGAACCTGGATGCCTCTGGTCCTAATCCTAATCCAATATATTAAGCACTACATCAGACAGGCTCTCATGGAGGGATGTGCCTGTATGTATTCCAGTGTTCCAAACTAAAATTTTATACACTTTAACATTTATTTATTTATAGTAGTGGAACCCTGCACTGAATAAGGAGTTGGCCAAGACAAGCTAAGTTTCTTCCAACGCTGTGATGCAACTCATGAAAGCAATTTATTGAAGACAAAGGAAGCAGGAAGAAACTTTCGTGAAATTTCTACCTTTAGTTTAAAATAAAAGCATTTAGAGCAATCGCTGTTTCAATTAAGTTGCAATTGTTGTGTTTTCTATGTAATGCCCTACATGTCAATGTTCAATGCTGAGATTAAACAAAATATAAAAACACAAATTGTGAAAGGCACCTTGATTACAAAAACTCAGTATGAGTCAGGGGTGGGCTTCAAAAATTCATAATCTTACATGTATTGTGTGTGCGTATGTGTGATAAACACATAAACACACACACATATATATATATACATATAAATTTTAGCCATTGTTTATCTACCGGAGGTTGAAGGCCTCTCCTCTTAAACATGATTCAAACCAATATAGATGTAAGCTTTATTTTGCCAATTGGGCCCACAATACTTGCTGATGTCTCTTTCATTTAGGTTTCTTTCATGGATGCTTTTTATCAAGTGGGATCTATTGTATAACGTGATGATAGGAAGTGTGTGTGTGTGTGTGTGTGTGTGTGTGATTTTTGCTATTATAAACAGCATGAGAAAACGATTAATTCACCAGAATATTTTAACTGCCAAAATGGAGCTCTGATCGCTTTGGAGTAAAAAGGCTAGAAGTCTAAGACTGCCTAGGAAGACAGGATCTTTCCAAGGTTTCCCTGATAAGCTCTGCTGTATTTTCCTTTAGCTTATAATTAAATAGATCACCTTCCATATAGCAAATCCGGGACTCTGGGTTCTTCTTCACCATTTTTCCCATGAAGAATTCGCTATCAAAATCCTCTGAGCGAATCTGTGCACCGTATTTTAGTAAACCCACTTCATAAGGATTGAACTCCACCCATTCTGCAACAAAAGGGTGCACAAAAGATTAACAGATAATCAGAGGTGGAAGGGAACTTGTAGGTCATCTAGTCCAACCCCCCGCCCAAGCGGGAGACCCTACACCATTTCTGACAGATGGCAGTCCAATCTCTTCTTGAAAGTCTCAAATGATGGCGCTCCCACAACTTCCGAGGGCAAGCTGTTCCATTGGCTGATTGTTCTTACTGTCAGAAAGTTTCTCCTTATTTCCAGGTTAAATCTCTCCTTGTTCAGTCTCCATCCATTATTCCTTGTCTGGCCCACAGGCGCTTTAGAAAATAGCTTGACCCCTTCCTTCCTGTGGCAGCCCCTCAAATATTGGAAGACCGCTATCATGTCTCCCCTGGTCCTTCTCTTTACTAGACTAGCCAAGCCCAGTTCCTGTAACCATTCTTCATATGTTTTAGTCTCCAGTCCCCTAATCATCCTGGTTGCTCTTCTCTTTATTTTCTAGATGAAATTGTAAGTAAGTAAGTAAGGAAGGAAGGAAGGAAGGAAGGAAGGAAGGAAGGAAAAGAGAGAGAGAGAGAGAGAGAGAGAGAGAAAGAAAGAAAGAAAGAAAGAAAGAAAGAAAGAAAGAAAGAAAGAAAGAAAGAAAGAAAGAAAGAAAGAAAGAAAGAAAGAAAGAAAGAAAGAAAGAAAGAAAGAACTTGGTTGGCTATTGATCCAAAGATGAAATCAGAAGGGAAGGGAGGGAAGGAGGGAAACAGAGGGAGGGAAGAAGGAAAGAAGGAAAAGAGAGAGAGAGAGAGAGAGAAAGGAAGGAAGGAAGGGAAGGAAGGGAAGGAAGGAAGGAAGGAAGGAAGGAGGAAAGAGAAAGACAGACAGACAGACAGACAGACAGACAGACAGACAGACAGACAGA